CAGGAACTTCATGAAGCCTCCTGACAACTGCCAGTAAGGCACTGGGGCTATCTGAGTGAGCTTGGGAGTAGATTCTCCAGCCTCAGTCAAGTCAACAGAGGTTGTAGCCCTGGCCAGCAGCTTGACTGCATGTGTATTAAGCCATGAAAGACTTTGAGTGACAACCACTTAGCTAAACTGCTCCCAGATTTCTGATTCTCAGAAACTGTGTGAGGTAATAAATGTTTGTTTTTGTAAGCTGCTACATTTTGGGGGTAATTTGTAACATACCATTAGATAATCAATGTACCTAGCAAAATGAATTAGGTATAATGGTTATCTTATCTTAGCCTTAGAAGGACTAAGAGAGTCTCCATTCATTCTTCACTTATTCAACTTTACCATTTCCAAGGCACCTCTGATAATCCCACAGAGCAAGTTGCAGTAGCACAGAGAAGATCGCCCAGCAGGGAGCTCTTCCACAAACTCCACCAGAGGATTCTTGTCTAGAATCAGGGAAAATTCATTTCTGCTTGAATTGTTACAGGTCACACTTGGTGTAATTCCCAGGTACATCTTGAAAGCAACCTGATAAGAAGAAAACAAAATTACTAAAACTTGGTCTAGAACCAATAACTATTAGCAGACTAAGAAAATACCCTGTGATAGGCATTACTGCACAATGGTTAAGCACATGGAGTCTATAGTCAGGAGGTCTGGCTTCACCCTTAGCTTTGCAATTTATTGATCCTATAATGTGAAGTTTTTAAATATTTTTACTTGTAAGAGGCTAATTTTTGGAAATAATATGGTTTGTAAAAAATGACATTAAAGCATTATTTTCAATCAACTTTTTAAGAGATGTATATCCTTTAGGGGAGTAAGAAATTAAAATACTATTAGTCATCAACATATCAGCTGATATTTGCCACACTGATCCTAGCAAAGTATAAAACCCTGGATTAGAAGGAACTCAGGACACATTTGCCACAACAATAAGGTGACAATCAAAGCAGAGGATTCTAGGGACAGATTAGACACAGATTAGACCCAATAATTCATTTTGGGAAGTGGAGGGAATAATTTTGGAGTGGTCATCCCTTATCTGTGGTCTCAATTACCTGTGGTCAACATTGTTTGAAAATATTAGGTAGAAAATTCCAGAAATAAAAAATTTATACATTTTAAGTTGTGCTTCTGAGTAGTGTGATGAAACCTCTCACTGCCCCCTCTCCATACTGCCCAGAACGTGAATCATCCTTTTGTCCAGTGTATTCACACTGTTTATGCTATGACCTGCCCATGGGTCACTTAGTAGCTGCCTCAGTTAGCAGATTTTTTTAAAACATAGTATATACAGGGTTTGATACTATCTGAAGTTTTAGATATCTACTGGGGGTCTTAGTTGCAGGTATCCCCTGTGGGTAACAGGTGACTACTCTACTGTGGAAGACAAATCTCTAAGGAGCACGTGGTAGTGGTGGGAGGCACATAAATGAATTGTCAAGTAACTTCACAGAAGTCTGCTGTTTTTATGGGGCTTGAAGAATTTTACAATGTGGAAATGGAAGAAATCTTGCAGACTATGTCTTTTAAGCCCTTAGTTTCATAAATAGGTAAACTGGTGTGCAGAGAAGTCAAATGATACTGCCAAGATCATGCTATAACTTAATTCCTTGGTTCCTAATCCAAAGCAATTTCTTTTCACAAAACACAAAGGCCTGGACTTTGAAGTTTATTAATAAAATTTTGTCAGCTTGATATGTTGCCATCTTTCAAGTGTGGGAATTAATTTTTAAAATTAAGAGCTGTGTAGGAGAGAAATGGAAGCAATTTTCTTAAATTACAATCTGAAGAATTAAGAGATTCCTCATTTATTCTTCATTTATTTCAGCAGACACTTCTTGAGCACTACCAGTCTAGCACAGTACCTGGCACACAGTAGCCATTTGCAAGATAAATTATAGAGGGCATCTATTCTGTGTTTGAGACTATGTTTAGTCTCAAACATAGAAAATGCATGGTATTAATTGAATGTTTGCCAGGTAGGCAAGACTGGGGGCCTGGAGGGAAGTGACGAAGACATTCTAGGTAGTGGGAACATGTCATGAGCATAAAATACCATGATGGGGTTCAGAGAAACTCTACGTCTATCAACTTGTGAGCAGTTGTGGGCCTCAAAGGTGTGAGCTGGCTAATGCAGAATTGAATTTCAGTTTTAGGGGGATCCTGCTCTTGTCAGCATAGAGGATGGATTTAGGGTTATGGGTGGGAGTGAGCATGAGGTCAAGGACAGAGATACTAATCAAAGGTTTCTCTTATAGCCTAGGAAAGAAATGAAAAGGACTCTTCTAATTTTGATTTTCCTTCAAAACTCAAACTCTCCCAAAACTTTTCCATGTAAAATGCACATATCCCAAATCCTAAAATTTGATCTCTAACACTAGCCGTTTTAGGAAGATAGAAAATGAAAGGGAAAAGTTGAAGGCATTCCCCCTA